TAATACATGTGGTTGTCTATGTAATTATAAAATGTGGACTTCTGTACTGTTTCAAAGCCATTAAAAAGAGTACTAAAATATTAGTCATGTCAAGCATTCCTCGCTCTCCCCACCTGGTACCCAAAAATATTTTAAAGTAAAGGTAGAACAATTTCATTCCTCTGACCTTGATCTTTGCCCTTTCACAGCAGGAAGTAACTACAACAGTCTTTGCCCCCATTCCCCAAGATTGAGGAGTGATCATAAGACACAGGGATTGAAACTGAGAAAGAAACAGTTAGAATTTCCCCTGGATTAGGGTGAAAGCATGCCTCATACCCACATGTTGTTGTGAGAAACAAAGTAACCAAAGTTTCTGAGTTTGCTTTACAGAACAGGAGAACTGCTGAAAAGACAGCAATTTGCTGACAGCTCCCCGTCACCTGACTAAACATCTCGCAGTGGTGTCTGGATACCACCCCACCACTGGCAACCCATAGGATGTTGGTTCAAGTCATGACCTACATTCAGCCCATGCCACCCTCTCTGATGCCTCGTCTGTGGGACTAGATAGAACCCAAGCAGCCAAGAGGGCACTCGGGCATCAAAGGTCCTGAATATTCTCCTAATTGATCAAAGGTGTCACCCTGGTGAACCTATGATCAAGAAGGGGAACTGATAAAAGAAAGAGATAAGAACCAAGCCAAAGTCAACAGGACAGTTACCATGTACCTCAAGGATGAACTATAGGCAGAAATAAAAAATTACATTTTAACCTTGACTGTTGCCAGATGGCTGAAGAACAATGTGGCAGTTTTTCCCTGCAGTTAGGACATTTGGAAAGCCCCAGGCACAAGATAAACTCTAGCTGGAAAGGTCAACCAATCAGAACTGGACTCAGCCTGAAGCTTGCATACTCTGCACTTTTTGCCTTTAAAACCCAACCACTCCAAGACCGAGGGGGGTCACCTATCAACTTACAGGTTGAGGTGTAGTTTTCCAGTTTGCACTTTGTGTGTCTGTCAGACCCATTCTTCCATGCATTTTTACCTGTATCACACACACACACAGACTCCCAAATAATATAACCATAAAGTTAACTTCAATGGAGTAATTGTGTCCTTTTTTTCACTTAACATACTCTGGAGATCTCTCCCTGCCAGTAAACACACTTCTAACTTCATTCTTTTTGTCACCTTCATAGAATTCTGTTCTATGACTACACCATGATTAATGGAACAGATGTGCATCTAAGTAGTTTCTAATTTTTTGCTATTGCAAACAAGCTTCAATGAGAATTTTCTCCACACATGTGTCAATATTGCTATGTGATCCATTCCTAGAAGTGAAAGAGCAGAGACAATAGGCATGATAGCTACTGCCCAATAGCCTTCCATAAAGCGTACGCCAACTTATACTCTCACACACAATGCATGAGAATGCCTGTATTCCAATACCCTCACCATTTCTGGATTTTTATCTAACTTTTTAATATCTCAATACCAATGAATGAAAGATATTCCTTTTCAAATTGCATTTTTATGAATACCAGTGAAATTTAGCATCTTTTCAGATGTTTTCAGTCCTATGTATCTATTTGCCTACAAATTGCCTGAGTATATGCATTTATGTATTATTTTCTTCCCAAATCCCATCAAAATGAAAGGAAAGATACAAAAATGTGAATAAAAACATAATAGTGCCAGAAAAAAAGAAATGGGCATTTCTTCACCCATTTTTCCTACTGCTTTACTCAAATTGGTTTATAGAAATGCTATAAATTGTGGCTAATTATCAATTGTCAATTCTTTATGTGAAAATATTTTCTCCTAGTCTGTTCCTTGTCATTTTACTTTGCTTTTGATATTTTGTTTTTGCTGTACAAATGTTTACATTTTTTATGTAGTCAAATCACCAACTGACAGTTTCTGTGGAAGTTTCCTTGCCCAGTCCTAAATTATAAAATAATCTTCCCGTATTTTATTTCAATACTTTCATAGTTTCATTTTCAATATCCAGACTCTTATTCCTCCTGGATTCCCCATGTCCTATTTCGCCTCTCCGTGCTTGTTTACTGGCTAGGAGTTACTCAAGGTTTTTGTCAGGAAAAACAACTCACTTCTGTGGTGCCTCCTGGATGTGTCTGAGGTTAAGAGATCTTTCCATCTGGTCTCTGGAAATGGGATCCATCTGCTTACCAACCTCTAGTCAGTGTTCACTGCTAGTCCCTTTCTCTCTAGTACTATTATGTTTTTATTCACTTTTTTATATCTTCCCTTCCATTTCAGTGGAATTTTGGAAGAAAATAGGATATAAATCCATATGTTCAGTCTGCCATCTTGAAGAGAAATGTCTGTGTATGTATGTTCTAAGAAACATTTTTATTATGGATAAAAATATGTACATTATGAAAAATACAAAAAACAGAGAAAAAATAAAAATCAACCAAAATTCCACAATTTGATAATTAAAAAAAGTTAAGATGTTGGTAGATTCACTTCCAGTGTTTCTAATGCAAATAAAATTTTCATAGGAAAGTAGGATCATATCATATATATAGTCTTAGACTATCCTTTTTAAACTCACATAATGTGAAGAGTATTTTCCTATACCCTTGAAAAACATGATTTTATTTTTTTTAAGTCTATAGAGTACTTTATTTGCACATAATTCTTAGAAATGAATGATTATTTTTTATTAATGTACCTATTTCCAGAAAGAGTAATATATTCCCATGATTCAATACAGTCAAAAGCCTCCTTTCTAACCCCTGACTCCCAGTGATCTGGCCCTTCCTGGAGTCAACAAAGGATACTTGATTATTTTGTAAAGATAAAGGCCCACAAGTAGAACCCACAGGTGGAATTGGGTGAGAGGATATATACCTTTCTAGCTCCTGATACACACTTGCTCTCCAAAAATGTATAATTTATAGCCCCTCCCATCCCCCCATATAAAGACATTCTCTTTTTTTAAATTTTTGGCAATTTGGAAGGCAAGAAAGTTTTTTGGGTTTTGTTTCTTGTTTTATGAGGAAGATTGGCCCTGAGCTAACATCTGTGCCCATCTTCCTCTATTTTGTATATGGGACGCCTGCCACAGCATGGCTTGATAAGCAGTGCATAGGTCCATGCCCCGGATCCCAACCAGCCAACCCGGGGCCACCAAGTGGAGTGTGCAAACTTAACCCCTACGCCGCCAGGCAGGGCTCCCCCCCCCACCCCCGGCCACCTGCAAGAAACATTTTAATACACATTTCTGTGACTAACAATGAAGTTAGAGCGATTTTTCATACGCTCATTAGCACACTCTGTATCTTCCATCATAAATTGTCTGTTTCTAGCCTTTGCCACACAGGACTCTTTAAAAATACTTTCTTAACTTTCAGGATTATGGTCAATGCACTGAGTTTCTCCCACATCAAGTCAAAGTGAGGCCTTCTCCAGACAGCAGGGCCTCTAGTTCCCTTAATTACATCACCAATGAACTCTCACTGCTTTACCTTCATATCCTGTTTTAATGAGATTTCTAATAATGCTTGAGATTTCTTTCTTGAGCTCTACTCTGACCCTCTGCCCAGAAAACGAGTGACAGCCCAGGCCTTTGCTCAGAGAAACCTGGAAGATTTCATAAGGCTGGTGTTTGCCAATATCTCCCCATCTGCACTCTTGCAGGTAGGCTGTATGACCTGGAGTCCATCACCCAACTTTTCTATGCCTTAGTCCACTCATCTCCACACCCACCCTTCCACCTACCTCTCCCTATCCAGGCTGGCTAGGTGCCCCTCTTCTATGCACCCGGGGTAGTTCCTCAGCGTCACGCACAGAGCCCTGCACAGCACATGCCCCTGGGTGATGACTGCTAACCTGAAACCAAAGCACACACCTGCCCCATTCACTTTCCAACAGAGCAGCCACTCGAAGGCTTTCCACAGCTCACCACTGCCTACAGAACACAAGTAACCTCCTAAGCACTGAAATGACAGTCCAGGCTCCACCCTTCATCTACTTTTCCAGGCTTCTACAACCTGTTTCTTCTCACAGCCAAAGAGAGAACAAACGTGCAACTCTTCACACACCCAGGTCTGTGCCAGGTATAGGTTGGCTAACGACGCTCTCCTCTGAGCCTTCGCACTTGGGTGTGTCCGACCCAACCCTGGGTGAATTCCAAACCCAATCTTGTCCTGACTCCTCGTTTTTTCTTCAACACCTCCTAATTTATTGATACTTCTGCTCCTTATGCCACCCAGCAAACTCCATCCTTTTATTATAAGCATTTCAGTGGTGATATGCTTACAGGAACTTGATGATTAGCTAATGTTATTAACTGATTTTTATCTTTTTTTTTCTTAGACGTAGCACTGCCGCATCCTCTTGATCTTTGTACACAGAGAAGATGTTTAGTAAATACTGGTTGGATCAAAGTACACTGTTGACTTTTCTTTTTTTCTCAACCTCATCTTGTTATAAGAAACTTCTCGCTCACCACTTCTCCTCTACCTCCTGCCAGCGTGGCACCCACCCCCGCCCGCACCTCCCGACCCTTTACCTACACCGGGAGGCAACTGACCAAGTTCCCAAGTAGGGCAGTCAGACGCCGCAGGAGAGCTCCGCACCCGTGCCCTGCGCTGCAGGCTGCAGAGGCATGACCTGACTCCCGCTTCCCATCGACGCCTCCACCTGTCTGCCCTCTAACACAAGGTTTCCCAACCTCAAGACTGTGCTTTGGAAACACCTGGGGAACTTTTTAAATGCTGATACCTGGGCCCCCTTCCAACGCAGAAATTCTGATTTAATACTCCAGAGTGCAGCCTGGGCATCGGGATTTTCAAACGTCCGCGCGTGATTCTTATGTTCGAAATCCCGGCGTGCAGATCCAGTCATCACAACCGAATTTGCAGCTTCCAAATGTGGCGGCCGGGGCAAAAAAGGAAGGGAGCGCGGGCCCACGTGGCGCGGGACCTGGGCGGCCCCACCCCAGCGGGGCGCGGCCGGCGGCCCTTGGGCGTGGTTTCCGGCGGACGCTGGGATAAATCCTTGAACCTCGCTCAGCGGCGAGCCAGGGGCCCGGTGCCATTGGCAGGCGAGCGCGGCTTCTCGGCGGGCAGCGAGGGCAGCGTGTCCGGGGTGAGTTGCCGAGGTCCGGGCCCGGGCACTGGGCAGCAGCTCGGGGAGGAGGTGGCGCCGGCTGGCTCCGACGCGCCGCGCCTCCGCACCCCGCCGGCCCGCAGCGGCCCGGGTGGTGAGAGGCCGGCCGGCCGCGGGCGTGAGCGCGGGCAGGTAAACCGAGGCCGAGTGGCGCGGGGCGAGCCCGAGGGAGCGCCAGGCTGCAGCGTCCCTGCGGCCGCCGTGGCCGAGCACCGAGGGGTGAGCTGCCAGCTTCCCTCCCCACCGGAGCACAGAGCGGGAGCCTCCCTGGTCCGCTCTTCTTCTTTGGTCCATTCTGCCCAAGCGCTCTGCTCTCTGCTGCTCAATGCATCTCTTTCTTGCTTCCCACGGCCCCCAATTCGCCCCATGCCCCTTACCTGCCCCCCTTCCCAGGGTAAACATCCTGCCACTGCTGGGAAGCTGACGTCACTTGTTTACATTGCACCAAGTTAGTTCAGCTTTTGGTTTAAGCGGCTAGGCCATGGGATGGAGACACCAAAAAAGTCTTCAGCCTGATTAAATTAAATATGCTCTGTAACCTCTAAGGAAGAGTCTATACAGTAAAACTGAACCTTACATTTACACTTGTTTGTAAGTATACTTACTATAACCGTCTGTCATTGGTTTAGCCAAGGGTCATTAATTCATACGCTAGCAGGAACACCAGTCATAGCTCTAACTAATATTTATTTTGCTGTCGTTGTGTGCCTGGCACTGTTCCAGCAAGGCCTCCACATCATGGGAATTTGGAGCAGAGGGGGAGACGATGTGTAATCTGGCAGGTGCTGAAATCCAGCCCAACTCGTCTTGCCCCACCCCCACCCCCACGCATGCATGCATGCTGGAGAGGGCTGTCTTAGAGCAAGAAGGGCCTGTTCTTTTTTTCCAACTTGCTTAGTAGTTCCGTGTGCGGTATAGTGACCATTTAACACTCCTTAACACTTTACCTGTATTAACTCATTTTACTTCCACACCTCCCCTATTCCATAAGTATTGGTACATTCTACTAGAATCCCCCTGTTTAAAGGAGGAAACTGAGGCACAAAGATGAAATAATTTTTAGCAAGATTGCAGAGAAGTCAGGGGCAGATCCAGAATTCCAACTCAAACTTTAATGCCTAGACCTCATTACCTGTGCGGGTACCCAGCAGACACCCTAAACCCCAAATTAGGGAGACCTCAGGATGCCAACTTTTTAAGAATCTAGTAAGCATCTGCCAAGACAGGGGTAAACAATGCGTTTGTTCTAGGTCTTGCGTCATGCCAACGTTGAGACAGTGGCATGTCCCATCATATTGAGACATGAGTCAGTCCCATCTGTAGAATGAACCAAGAAACGACAATTTAGGTCACAACAATTTCCTAAGGGTTTGACCATGCTCCAAGGCCTCCTGCAGATAACCTATCCACCTGTAGTCATTAATAGTAACGAGTCTGTCCTTAGCAAACTGCACAGTAAGTGAAGACCTGCTACTCTTTTTTTGTTTTTTTTTTTTTGTGAGGAAGATTCACCCTGAGCTATCATCCGTTGCCAATCCTCCTCTTTTTTCGCTTGAGGAAGAGTCGCCCTGAGCTCACATCTGTGCCAGTCTTCCTCTACTTTGTATGTGGGATGCTGCCACAGCCTGGCTGATGACTGGAGAAGGTGCGCACCCGGGATCCAAACCTGTGAACCCAGGGCCACTGAAGTGGAGCACAGAAAACTTTAACCACTCCGCCACAGGGTAGCCCCCCTGCTACTCTTTAATGAAGAACGTCTCCTGCCCTCATCTGTGCCTCTCAGTTGGACACCCCGTTCAGGGAAGCTCCCTGTCCCCAGCACAGTATGCCCTCCACTACACATGTCTTCTCACCCTGGAAGAAATAAGACCTTCCATTCTTTCTCAACTGGTTGTTAGTAAAGCATCTTATAAATTCATTCTCACTGAAGTGTGAGTAACTGATAGCAGGATGTAAGCAGTGAGCCCTGTATGAGTTTGTCAAGGGGAGGATTTTATTCATTCAGCAAACCTATTGAGTGACTTCTTGGTGAGCAGCAGTATGAATCTGAGAACCATGGTAAGATTTGCAAAGTGCTTCCTGTGAGCCAGCATTGTGGTCAAGCATGTAACATACATTCTTATTTCATCTGCAAAACCACCCTGTGCCACAGGACTAGTAGAGATGAGGAGACCGACTGAGGCTCACAGAGACTCCACAGCCTGCCCAAGGCTCCACAGCTAGACAGGGACAGGGCAGGACAGGAATCCAGGTCTCTCTCTAACCGACATCCTACAATCACAGGGCCCAGTGGTAAGTGATGTGGCACGGAGACAAAAGAGCCTGGGGAAGGGGTATCCCGTGCCGACAGCAAATCTATCAGAAAAGGTTTAGAACATCTAATTATTCCTCTTCAAATACGTTATACAAATAGGATTTTACATTTTCCTCTTGAATCTCAGATTTTAAATAGTGACACAGTGCAAATTAGAAAACAAATCCAAAAGGAGATAAAAATAAAACCAGAAAGATAGTAGTCATCCCATAAACATTATGATGTAGTCAAGATTTTGAACATAAAATCAACAGGACTCGTGATCATTGTGAAGAATGGTTAACTGTGAAAACAGTGGACTTCTCCTTGGCTTAAATTTGGATATGCTTTCAGTTCCAGGTTAATGAACATTTCTGTCACGCCCATTGCCCAGCAGGCATGCAGGTGTGTATCGAGCTTGGTGCTGTGAATGAAAGTTGGCTAAGATACCTTTCCTGTGGGTTCCCTCCCCTGTGTAAGGTCAGAGTCTGCTACCAAGAGAAATGTTTAAATCATGCTTCTCAGTTGGCTTCACTGTTTCAGAAAGTATGAGCTCCATGTAGTAGGCAACCCGGAAGGAATGGACACCTGGGTCTTTATAAGAGTCTATCTTTCTTTATAGGTGTCAGCCAGAATATGGCACCCGACCTGAACTCAACAAAGGACTTGTTCGTTTTCTTAGGAAAATCAGTGTTTAGTGTTCTGGAGGACATGGTTTTTACCTTAATCCCAAAGCCACAGAAGAACGTTGCTGGTGAAATAGTGCTCATAACAGGTGCTGGGAGTGGACTCGGAAGGCTCCTAGCCCTCAAATTTGCCAGCCTTGGATCTGTGCTTGTTCTCTGGGACATCAACAAGGAGGGGACCGAGGAGACATGCGAGATGGCTCAGGCAGCTGGAGCCACGAGAGTTTATGCCTACACCTGTGATTGCAGTCAAAGAGAAGAAGTGTATAGGGTGGCCGATCAGGTAAACCTTGAGTGCTTACTGGCTTCGTCGGGTAGTAAGAACTCCATGTTAATCTTTTAACATACATCAGTTTCTTTGTCTATTTCCCTTTGTCAGTGCCATTTTGCCTGTCTCCAATATCTCTTTAATTTAAAAAATATTGGGAGTGGGAATTAGGATTTTTGAGTTCTCACTGTATGCAATACAGCTTGCTAAGCACTCTGTATTATATCATAATCCTATAAAGTCTAGCCCATTATTATCTCCATTTCACAAATAAGGAAACCAAGACTTAAGGCAGGTAAGTAGCGTACCTAAGAAACATAGCTAACAAGCAGCAAAGCTACAGCTGGGACTTGAGTCTGATAACTCCCAGTGTGTGCTCTAATCACCACGCTATACTGACTGTGCTGGCCCCCATTATAGTATAGGAGGTAGGTGGCAGCACCCTTCTTTGAGGATAAAGCTGAGACACAGAGATATTAAATAACCTGCTCAGGGTCACAGACCTAGCACATGACTAAGCCAGGATTTGAAGCCATGTTTGGTCTGACTTTAAATCCAGCCATTTCCACCCTACCACAGTGCCTTTCATTTGAATGTGTATTTCTCTTAAGCAGTCATAAGAAAATCATAATATTTTATTCATCCTAAAGACTCTTAACCACAGTTACTCCTTTGGTGATGATACAGATTCGCAGATAAAGAACACCTTCAGGAAACCACAGCTCCAATATGCCAATGGTAAGGGTTTCCTTCCTTCAGAGAGGCATATGCTTGTTTGGTGGCTGCCTCCTTTCCCTCATAAGGATTTCTCTGTCCTCACATTGGCATGACTACTCCAGACATCACACTCCTGGGCCACTTTTTTTGTGGCTCCCAGAATTCACCAATGCAGTGAGAAGAAAGGAACCAGACCAGCCTCCAACGAGCAGCCCTATCACATTGGAAAGTCCTTGCATATGCAAAAAGGAAAAAGGGAGTCTGATTATTCAGATGTCCAAGGACAGGTGGGTTCATCAAACTCTCCTTAAGGCCTTAAAGGCTATGTCATCCTATTCTTCCCATAAAATTGGATCGGGGTTGTTGTTCTTTAGTAAAATATACAGAGGATTGGCCAGAAGAGAGAAATTTGGAATCCAGTTTTGGCAATAACCAACTAGCCTGAGAAAATCTTGCAGTTGGCTCTTAGTTTTGGGTTTCGGGAAACTTAAGACATCATGAAGCCTGTCTGGATCTAAAGGTAGCCCTTGTTCTCATATCAGAGGTGTTAAATATCAAACGTGAGTTTGTGCAAACTACAAGTTGCCCTTGGCGATTTTATGTCCCTTTAAGGCTAAAAGCTTTAGCAAGTGGCTGCTGTCTTCCTATGAGGAGACTTGTGAGGGAGAGCAAGGAAGCATATCATCCACATATTCTAACAAAGTAGAACCCCTGGGGAGCTTATATCATCCAGATCAGCCTCCAGGATTTGTGAGAAGTAAGAAGGGCTTTCAATGAAACTCTGCTGAAGTTTTCACTTCTCTTCAGCATACACTGCTGTCCGGTGAATTGTTTTCCTTCCCAAGTGAAGACAAAAAGGTATTGACTAGCTTCATCAACTAGGATGCTAAAGAATGTACTACGTAAATCGACTGGCATAGAGAATTTGCTCCCAGTGGGAACGGATGTTAGGAGCATGTGAGGGTTTGGAACAACAGAGGTGAGGGCTAACAGTGTAGTTTATTGCTTGGAGGTCCTGGACAAACCTCTGCCTTTGGCCGTTGGGTTTTCTCACAGGTAAAATACAGTGTTACAGGGGCTACTACAAGGGATAATAAGGCCTTGAGCCTTAGTAATCCTCTATTATGGGCTTTCTATCTTGAAGGGTCTCTTTACTTATAGGGTACTAATTAATCCTGGGGAGAGGTTTTGAGGGATCTTTTTGAATCTTGAGGGGAGGTGTGCTGTGAATTTTACTGATATCATTTGGAGATTTTGCCCATAAAGAGGGTGGCAGCTGATTCAATAGGGACAAATGATCGGTGTTTCCAGAATCAACACTAGTACTGTCAGGGGCAGCGCAAATAAAAGATGTCAAAGTGTCATTTAATTCACCTGGTTGGCCATTTTGATAACTACTGTCAAATTCTAGACTTATTTTCCCCTTTTGGGAGAAAGAAATTCTGGCATGATACTTTTCCAAGAAGTCTCAGCCTAAAAGATGAATAGAGGTGAAGGGACTTAGGAAATAAGGGTGTATGTCTCTCATAGGGCCTCAACAAATGGGAATAGGTTCAGAGACAGGAAGCTTTGGAGGTTTGTTAGAGATCCCCACTATTTGAACTGTCGTAGTACTCTGAGCAGGGCTGCTTTATAGTAGTGAGGTTGAACCTCAAGAGGGTGGCTCCAGTGTCACTTAGGACAGAAAGAGATTGATCGTCAATCTGGAGAAATGTTTCTCCAAGCCAAATAAGAAGGAGGATTGCAAAGAACACCTGTAGTTCCTTGGATCCCTGTCATTGGCAATTTGTAGGACATTGGAAAGGCTGGTTAGAGGGCTGAAGGCACCTGAAGTGTTTAAATTTGTAACAATCTCTTTTCCAATATTCTGGTTCTTTGCAATAATAACAGAGACTAGGTTTTTGGTTTCATTTAGGGGCCGTCATTTGCTGGAGGTGAAGACTAAGAATTTTAGCCGTCTTTCTTCAGGTGACTCATCTAGAGTGTGAGAGAGTTGGTTTGCCAGATTAACTAAATCTGCAGTGGACACAGTTTCCCATTATATCCTGGTCCTTTTTACTGGAAGGGAAAGATCCCAGGTCAGCCCATTGATAAACATAGAGTTAAAAGCTACCCAGGTAGAATCAGCGTCTGAAGGAAGACCAGAATTTTCTTTAAAAACAATCTGGAGTCAATTATAACAGTCATGAACAGGTTCATCAGGTTGTTGTGCACAAACCTGAATTTGTTTTGTTTTGTTTTCCTGGGGAAGATTTGTCCTGAGCTAACGTCTATTGCCAATCTTCTTCTTGTTCTTCTTTTTTTTTTTTGGCTTGAGGAAGATTAACCCTGAGCTAACATTAATGCCAATCTTTGTCTATTTTATATATGAGCTGCCACCACAGCATGGCTGAAAAGTGGTGTAGGTCCATGCCCGGGATCCAAACCTGCAAACCTGGGCCACCAAAGTGGTGTGTGCCAAACTTAACCACTACACCACGGCATGGCCCCAACACAAGCCTGAATTTTGTTCCAATCAACAGGCTTTGGGAAAGCCTTAGGAATTTCCCAATGAAGTTGTCTAGCTATTGCCTGAGCCTGATCATACAACAGGTCCAAGGGTTGGTTTCCTGGTTGTAATTCAAGAGACCTTGTAGGATTTTCTCAATTGGCAGTTTTCACATCTAGTGGGCCTGGCCTTCACTGACAAGCATATGAACTAGCTGCTATAAGTTAGAGAAACCAAGTTAAATGGTTGATAAGAAACCAAGTTAAATGACCATACTAAATTCTTCAGCAAATTTGTGAGGCTCGTAGGGAGCTTTGGAAAAATCTTTGACTGTGGCTCGCAGTTAGGCTTTAGTCCAGGGATTACATAAGGGTTTAGCCTTTGGATCCTCAGAAGGCTTAATTTTAAAGGGACAGGTTCTGATAGGTTCAGAGGAAGAGGGAGTGCGAGCGGTTCCACAAAAAGGGGAAGTTCAGTGAGAGTGTTAGTATGGGGTGACTGAGAGTATAGCGGAGGTGTGGACTGTACAGAAAGGAAGGAGGAAGATGGTTCCCAAGGCGGAGCCTTAGATGAAGAAGCCAAGAAAGAGGAATGTGAGACTTCAGAAGCCATTTTTATCTTTCTTTAACCGTTTGTTTGCCTCAGCCGACCTTAAAATTTTATTTTGCAAACAGGGAATTTGAGACTCCTGGTACTGTTTGGAAGCCTGAAAATACCAGTCAATATAGGCGTTCCATTCAGCTTTGGAAATTACAGAGCTAGGGTTGTCCAATTCGGCTTTAAGAAAAGTAAGTTTGGGGAGTTCCGAAGTTTCCCAAATTGGCCATTCTTATTCTGAATTACTTTTGGTCAAGTCAGTCCATTTAGTTGGAAATGCGCATGAGGAATGACCACAGTTTGTGACCATAAAATCAGCCAGGGTCTCTGTGCCAGAGGCAGGGCAGGGCTCAAAATATTTAGATAACTGGGATCTCATTTCCTAGGGCTTTTTTTAGAGCAGAGGAATAATTCTCAAACAGCCTAAACAGCTCAAACAGCTGAAACAGCTTGACCAGCTCCAACGGCCTGCAGGCTTCACACCAGCCGGTTCCAATAGAACAGTCCGATTTCAGTAAGGTGGCCTGAGGGTTGACTTGACACAGTTCCAAAGAACAGTCTGAGTCCAAGTGGAATCAGACCGAAAGTTGATCGCTGCATCTCCGAGGAACAGTCTGCTTCCAAGGGAGGCGGGCCCGCGCAGCTCCAACGGACCGTCCGAAGGTCGGACTGAAGGCCAGCACCGTTTCAGTAGAAACACTCCAGTTCCAAAAGGAATCAGGGCCAGCCCCAGTGGCCTACTGGTTAAGTTCTAGGCACTCTACTTCAGTGGCCTGGCTTCGGTTCCTGGGCACGGACCTACACCACTCGTCTATTTGTGTCCATGCTATGGTGGCAGCTCACAAACAAAAAGAGGAAAATTGGCAGTGGATGTTAGCTTAGGGCGAATCTTCCTCAGCAAACAAACAAAAGGAATCAGACTGAAGGCTAGCACAGTCCCAAGGAACAGCCTGATTCGATGAGTCAGGCTGAAGTGCCACCTGAGTACACACAGACAAACAAGGCCTTAACCAGAAAAAGACGAAGCCTTAAAATAGATAACCGATGAAACGTAGAGAGCTTCAAACACACAGAGGACAGAAGCTCGGATCCAGGAGAAAGACTCACCCTCAAACTGTGAAGTTGGTGAGAAAAGCAGCGGGCTCAGTGGGCTCTGTTGTGGGTACCACACCTGTTTGCTCACCATCCTCAGAGTCTTCGGGGGTCTTCTCTGGATCCCCTTACAGGCCGCCTAAGTGTTGACCTTAAACAAATAGACAGCTAGTTATTTCTCCAGAAAAAATGCATTCATCTGAGATCGGCAAAAAATTGCAGTTCAAGGTCCGCAACCACAGTGAGCCGCATGCAAGTCCCAGAGCAGCAAGGGAGGAGAAACTCTTTTATCGAGGGGAGGAGGAAGTTGGCGGGGCTGAAGTAAACAGAGGTCGAGGTGTCGTGGCTTCTCATTGACTGAGTTAAGTCTCTCACTGGCTGAGCTTGCTGGTCAAGAAGAGGGAGTCTTTCTTCTTCTTGTTGGGCTCTGCTATCAACCTAAGGCATGAAAGCTCCCCCTTTTGGCCTCCTGACTCCAATTTAATGCGGTTTTTCTTTATTCATATGCCCACCAGACAGTTGATGAAAACAGGACAGATGGGTGCTGAGCTACACTGTGTGTTTAAAACATGAATCTGAATATCATACTTCCTCCACTCTCTCCCTGCTCCACCCCCATGTCAGTGTGTGCCAGGTCTTGATTTATGACATAGATCTAATATCTTACGTCCCATTGCAATGGTTAAAATTATGTACTAGTTATACACAGCATAGAACAAAATTACTAATCGCTGAGTATAAGAATAGCTTTAACTGTAGAAGGAAAGTAACATTGCAGCATTGGCACTATCATAAGAAGGGGAGGAAATGAGAGGAATGGCATCAGACTGGGATCACTGGTGCGCTGTAAACTCAGCGAAAGAAATAAGACATACTTTGTTTTTAGAGTGCGTAAACTCAATCTGCGTTAACAAGGAAAAGAAGCGTATAAAACTGTGGCAAAAATTAAACCTAGATCCTATGAGGAATTACTGCATGTGCAGTGTTGCTCTTGCTGTTCGATTCAGGTTAAGAGAGAAGTTGGTGACGTTTCCATCCTCATCAACAATGCTGGAATCGTAACTGGCAAAAACTTCCTCGACTGCCCGGATGAGCTTATAGAAAAGTCTTTTGATGTGAATTTCAAAGCACATTTATGGGTAATTATTTTTTCTTCTCATAATAAATATAAAGTTACTCTGACATTTAGAAGTACCTTCCTCTTGTTCTCTTACAATAATAACAGCCTCTAAGTAAAGCACAGACTTCTCAGTTTTAGATTTGTCCTGGTCTACTCAGACATCCTCTCCTGATCCAACTTAACCTACACCTCCCAGGGCCTCTGTTCAGGGAATCCTGCAAAGACACAACTGTCCTTGTGGTCATTTATTGATGGTCAGCCTATGTCGGATACTATCCTAAGCACCTCACGTATAATCCCTAAAACAGCTCAGTGAGATAAGGGATCACATAAGTTAAAAGATTTGCTCAAAGCTACACAGCAAGTGATTGCACTTAGACGTGACCAGGGTGACCTTATCACTTGCCTAAGCTGGAACTCTTTTGAAAGTGAAAGGAGGCATCGTTAATAAGCAAGCATTCATCAGGTCTGTTCTGGGCAAACGAAGACCTAACCAGGGAAAGGAGAGTTTCTACCAGTCAAACCTGGTGACTACGTGCTGCAGACGTGAGTGGCACGGCCCCTGACTTCTAAGATGATGTGCCTACTTTCAGAAGTTGCATTTCCCCAGCCTTTGCTGAGACCAGTCATGTCAGGCCTCCCCACACCACGCACTTCTCGTTCTGCCCCTCCCAGCCCTTGGGCCCATTTCATTCTGCCTTGTTCACAGCTCATCCTTCCCTGGGCAAGCTCTCTCCTTCTGGGAGAGTGTCTTTGCTGGAGATTTCTGAGATCCCCCTCCATTCTCTTCACCTCTCTCCAGATGGACTTCCTGCCCAGCTCTCCTTTGACCCACCTTTACATATTATTTGGAGTTTGTCAGTTTTCTGTCCCCTAGTTTCACCAAAAGGATAATGGTGCCATTAGTGTAATGGTGGCATTCTTGGTGTTCCGTCTAGTTTTTGGCGAAAGATGGAAAGATTCAGAACTAAGTGGCCACGATGTTCCTTCAGGAACTACTGCAAGTGATTTCTCTTGTCTTGTCCCAAAGGTCCTTCTTCATTAGCATATGTGGTCAGGATGAAGATAAAGACATGATCTCCTTAAAGGTCTCCACTCCTGTAGCTTTAGTGTTCTTTTCCCATCTCTCTGTTTTTCTCCAGTCTCCTTCACGGTCTCCCCTTTCTCTTCTTTTCCTCTCTCTTCTAGTTGTTCCTGAAGTGCTGGCATTTCTCTGGCCCTTGTCATCCCCTCCCCTCTTCTCACCCTATATGCTCCTTCTGGGCAAGTTTGCATACACTCTTTGAGCCCCTGCATGGAATGGGCATTTAATTGCTAGTGGGTCAGGGAGCTCATGGTGACCATGCTCCCAAGCGGAGTGTCCCCGTGGAGAAAGGAAGTGACCACTGCAGACTATCGAAACTCAAGGTGTTTTTATTATGCTGCACTGTTTGCTGGTTTTGATTTTCTAGCTCTGTCTACATGTTAGTTTCTCTCTCAAACTCACTGCAATGCAGACAAACAAAGGTTGTTTGAGTTTTATAGGAGATCCCTTTTCTCATATTTATTCATATTGTCAATGTAAATAATCAATTGTCATTCTATAGCAGGGAGTTTTATTCCAGCCAAGCTGAGGACCATAGCCTGGGAGTGCAGCCTTTGCAAGGGAACATAGTGCTGCAAAGAATGGTTTTCAGCATCATTATATACCATTTCCTAACAAAGAGATGTACATCAAGCGTGACAGGAGTGTATTCTTTCAAGGATTTAAGGAGATATTTTGTTACAAGTCAGCACGTACACAGCAGGTCAATATGACCCTGGTGTGTGGAAAGGGAAACTTATCTTCAAAAACTACTGAGTCATAAGAAGGGAGGCATCAATTCTTGTCTTCAAAAAGTACATTGTTTCCTTGGGGATAATGATTAAAGCAGACGTACAATGAATGTTTCGTAGGCCATAAGTCAGGCTTCTTTGGTTTAAATAAAATTTAGGCCAAATCAAGTTTAAACAAAGATGGCTTTCCCATATACCTCAATATATAAAATTTTCTTACATCAATATTATTCATATTTGAAAAGAAATATGAAATATAAACTTATGTCATATGAGTGTGCAGTTATTCATCTTTGATTAGTTATTTTTTTGTTGCAAAATATATCTTCTCCCAAAGCTCCTTTCTCCTTTACCTTCTTTCTCCAGATCCCACAGTGAAGGTGGAGGTGTTCTATAGACTGAGACCCAGTACATGCCCCCTCTTCATAACAGATACTCTTTTTTATGACGAGGAATAAAAATAAGAAACCATTATTCAAAGAAGTAGAGATGAATTTAAGAACCAAGTGATACTTTTAAACTGAAGCCAAGAGCAGCAAGTCCTGTGAACAATGTTCAGGAAACACTTGAAATTCAAATATGATCCAAGGAGGAAAAAAAGGAAATATAAATCTAAATAACCATATCCTTGATTATAGTCTAAATAATCATATCCTTTCCTTTCTGGACTGTGACTGCCACAACTAAGATTTTCCTATACTGCTTCAATTATTGTCTTAATATTGTGTTTTTAAAAGTCAAATATGAGCAAAATATGTCTAAATAAATTATTTTTAATAATATTGGAATTGCCACCAGGCAAATATTGATTTAATAAGTTAAACAAGATAAGATGATTACTTGCCAGATGTTTGTTTTCATATCCCAGTGTCTTCAGGTATTTTTATGAGCTTAAAATTTTTTTAATCAAAATGATCATATAAACATCTAAAAAAAATATGGAATGTGGTGTAAAATGTTAAAAGTTTTACTTTGCTCTTCTTAGACTTATAAAGCCTTTTTACCTGCTATGATTGCAAATGACCATGGACATTTGGTTTGCATTTCAAGTTCAGCTGGATTAACTGGAGTAAATGGACTGGCAGGTAAGAGAAATTTAATATTTTGCAATTGTAAAAATGTCTTAGAATTTTAACTTACATGATAGTTCTGAAGAATCAGCATTAACTTGATGTACTGATGATAAAGGATAGTAAATTAAGAAGTACATTCAATGAGGTAAGTTATTGAAAACTTCATTGTGCAGCAAAACTGCCCATCAGGTATACATAGATGAATTTGAACTATGCACTTGGGAATCATTAGGTTTTATGCAATCCCCTTGGTTTAAAAAAAGAGAGAGAGGCTTTACTGATAAATTTTTGATACAAGTGATTAGCATAGCCACTGTCCTCCAAAATTCACCTAGCACTCTTTATCAGGATGGTGGAAGGACCACTATGCTTTCTGAATTTTCAGTAGGTAGAGTGGAAACCCCTGCTGTGAGTTTGGAGAAAGTTTCTTGACCCCAGGAAACCTAAAATTAACTTCTTTGCTTTTTTGCTGGTTAAAGACTTACCGAAAGTGGTTGTCATTTCCATCTCCTTTGCAACTGACTTGACATTAGCAGTGGGGAGGGGACAAAGAGAAACACGAAGATCTTCGGTGAAGGCAGCCCCACTCAGAAGCTGGCCCTAGGGCGAACAGAAATCTTGTCCGTACCTACCAGGGTGTCCCTTCGAGCAAACACCCTGGGTCCTGGCTTGTGCAGATCCCTGAGACTCATCCATCAGAAACCCTAGCTGCAACATTCGGATCACAGATTGGCCAGTTTGCTAATCAGGCACTTCCTAATCCTTTTGAGCTGAGCAGCATAGTTCAACATTCACAACACTAGTCTAAGCATAGTTCATCTCAGTTATGTGGATAGGTTTTTCAGAACCACCAGTCACCCAAAATATTACCAGTCTGTACACATCTCCCTGTACCCTAGACTTCCCTTCCTCTATCTTTCTTAGAATTCTTTTTATTACCCCTCTCTCATATGTCTGATAAGTCATGGGGCTTTAAAATAATACAGGTGTATTTACAGCTCCTATTAATCCTTTTTCTGACATAGTATTTCTATCTTCAGATACAAGACTCTCCCACCCCCAGTGAAGTGTCAGCCTTTTGTAATTTGCACAGCGTGGGGCTCCTGTGCATCAGACCACTAGGGGTGCTATTTAGAATGCAGGTTCCCTGGATCCTGGGCCATGTCTCTTCATCCGAATCTCAGGGGTTGAGGGGCTCAGTTAGCTGCATTTATGCCAAATGACTCAGACGATCCTTGAAGCTGCTCAGGACCCCTTCTCTCCCCTTTCCTCCCTCTATCATCTTACCCACTGTCTTGGAAAGAGCAGGGCCCGTCAACCCCATGCCTGGCACTTGTAGCCTGGTTCTTGCCAGTTGTAGTAGCTACTCCTTAACAGAGTACTAAGTATGCCTCTGACTGTGTGAGGCAAAGGAAAGAATAAGTCTACCTAAATGCCTTTTCTACTCCAAACTTGGCCATTCAGTGAATTGAATATTCAGGTGTTTACTTGAAGTGAGAGTGTCTGAAGATAGAAAGCTCCAAACTAACATAAATGCCGCTTCCCACTACCCCTGCATTTTCAAGATATTTAAGAAGTTGATGTTGAAGCTACTGAGTCCTTTCTTTTTCTTCTAGAAGTAGGAGAAAGAGTTATAGTTGGAAGAAAACTTGATCCAAGTATCACAACCCACACTGATCTCTCTTGCTGAGACTCCTACATCACTTATTATTTTGCTTCTTCTTTTGTGTGTCTTCCTGCCCTGATTGGGTTGAAGCTCTTTGGGACAGGGACTGGATGCACCTTTTGTACCCCGTGTAATAGCTAGCACAGTTTCTCCTGTGCTAACCCTGCTTCTCTTGAGTCCACTTGGTCGTTATCAACTGACCATGTTCTCTCCCACTCATTTCACTCTTCTTCCAGTGGGAGTAGACCAAGATCATACAAAATAAGAACCTGAGATGTTGTCCCAGTCTCTGTCAGTATGAGTGTTTCGAGAAAACCTTAATGTAATGCCATTTAAAGACGTTAGAATATACATTAGCATTGTTTGTCTTTTTCAGATTATTGTGCAAGTAAATTTGCAGCCTTTGGATTTGCTGAAGCTGTGTTTGCAGAAACAGTGGCTCAGAAACAAATGGGGATCAAAACCACTATTGTGTGCCCACTTTTAATAAACACTGGAATGTTTGAAGGTTGTACCACTAAGTAAGTATATCCTTTGATTTCAAAGAAACTACATTTTTAAAAATGATTGGCCATCTATTTTATTTCGTTCTTTATCTGTTTGTTAAAGTTGCTTAAGAAGACATTTTTCTAGGCTTTGGCCTGATTTATAAATGGTTTCCCAATTTCTTTTTTTCCTCAGACGTGTTTGTGTTTAAGGTACTGAGTTTAATGTGAATGGGTAATGAAGGCTGTGTCCATCTCATAGCCACCCTGCAGCCCGGATCTGCTCATCCATCTCCTTGGGGCTCCTGGTCACATCCACTTTCCGCCACCCAGCTCCATTCTGCCCTCTTCCCTGATTCCGCAGAAGGACTGGACATCATTGAAGGGGCACAAATGCCCAAGTCTGTATCTCAGGGAGATCACAGGCAGTTGGTTTTCAAAGACTTGCTTTACATTATTTAGACCATTTGTTTAATATGATTTTACGTATATGCATATTGTTACATCAGTGTATTAATTAGAATCATCATTTTCCATTTCAAATTCTAGTTATGTTATTACTCATCATGTTTATAAGGGCATAAATATAGAAATAAATCACATATGGAAGGGAAAGAAGTAAATAGATGATCATGTCTTACAACCCTCTTATCCCTAATTTGTAAGAATTGTTTTTATGAGTTTGTTAATTTGGGGATTATTTTACCCTCAGGTTTCCTTCTCTGTTACCAGTTCTGGAACCAGAATATGCAGTGAGAAAGATAGTAGATGCTATCTTGCAAGAGAAAGTGTACCTGTATATACCAAGGGTATTGTACTTCCTGGTGTTTTTAAAAAGGTAACAATATAAGCTTCTGTTATTTCTCTAATGTGCCAGTCAACAGCTTATTCCAAATCCTACCCGGAGGAGCCACTTAGAAACTACCTGTTAAGTGAATTTAGAGCTCTTCATTGTGCTCATTTGCTGGCACAATCTCAAAGTTGCATAGTTGCAGTGCCCCCCGAGTCTAGAAAATGGAATTGGATCCTTCTAGTCATCTTAGTATTGCATTGTTGCCAAAAAGAAGTATATTTGCTAAATGATCTGTGGACAGATTGAAATGATTTTTTTTTTTTAGGCAAGACACTTTCTTGTGCTCATAATGGAACAATCATCTTGGAATAGATATTGTGTCCATGCCTTCTCAAGTACAGGGCCCCAAAGTCAAGACCAGACAATAAGCCAAATATTTCAGGAATTTGTGGTGTGGGTAAAGCTGATAATAGATGATAAATTTGAGCTATCAGATGGTTAAAGAACTTGGGGGGAAAAAACTGAAAAGATAACCACCTCTTAAAAGCATGAGAGAGCATCTTTGCCCATCCTTCTCCGCTCTCCATTGGGTTTCACACTGAGATTCACTGGCTGCAGTTTATGAACATTTGACCCCGTTACAGAAATTCTGAATTGCTGATGCACCTGCTTATTCCCACAGTCTCAATTCATTGTCTAGACTGTGACAGGTCCTCTAATACTGCCCCCTCATCTAATACTTCCCCAGACGAGGCTTTGCAAGGAAGCACATTTCGTTACTGAACCACTCCCCTCTATTGAGTTGAATTCTGCCTCGTTTTCACTTCCATTGTTTCTAGCTTTGCCCTCTAACACTGTGAGTGATTCCGTTCCTCTTGATAACAACAATTCTTCGGTTCTCTGAACACAGATATCATGCCTCAAGTCCACTGCATGGCTAGCAGCCGTTGCCTTTCCTGCATAAGGAAATGTCTTCTTTCTTTAGCTAGTTGTATCTACTTTGTGTAATGAATAAAAATCATTCTTACATCCTTCCCCTTTGTCACACTTCGCCTAACACAAGAGTGGTATGGCTGACTGAGGCTGTTTGGGGCAGGGCAAAGGGTCTCTGACAAGCAGTTTGAGATCTCAAGTTTTGATCCTGCTGTTACTAAGTCTGTGGCTCTGAGCATGCATTTTACTCTCCGGGTCCGGTCTCCTCTTTTACAACATACAAGGCAACACTGGTTATGGCTTGTGGATTAGTGAGTTTAATGCACTGTTTATTGGGCAATGTGTGTGCTCACTACCTCCTGCCTAATAGATAGAGGTTTATAGGATAGTAATGCCAATTGTAAAGAACGTGGGACTTAAGTTTTTTAACATTTTGAATAATTATTGAGATTATGTTTACTTTTACAGGATATTAGTTCTGGGCCCCAGTTTCAGAGAGCTCTACATAGCTCCTGAGAAGGCTTGGAAACCTGAAGAAGTTCGGTGAAGGGGATCAGATCACACACTCCTTCAAATATTCATTCAACAAGCATTAGAGAGTGCCTACTGTGTGCACACATTGCTGACCATCCTAGGATCTGAGGTTTACAGCAAAGAACAAGAGAGAGAAGAGTCCCTGCCCTCATGGAAATTGTCCTCTTAGGGGGTGGGTGGCAGGGAACAAACAAGCAAAAAGGGAAAGAAAAAGAAAAGGTATGGTCAGAAGTGCTATGAAGAAATGTACAGCAGGAAAAAGAAATCCCAGAAGGGGAGGTGGAGGGGTGCAAGTTGAGATTTAATTTTCAGTATGGCATTCAGGGGAGGTCTCACATAGAAGGTAACATTTGACCAGAGACCTGAAGCTGCAGAGGGCAGGAATCACCTGGATATCTTGGGATGCCCCCAGAGGGACAGCGAGCACAGGGTCCTTTTCTTCACCCCCCACTTAGGACAAGTCTCAGGTTGACTGTGCCTGTTCTGTTTACCGTGCTTCTCCTTGCTCTGCAGTGTGGACATCAGGATCTGTGGAGTCAGAGTGCTCTGTCGGGAGGGGCGAGTCGGGGTGGAGAAGATGAACAGTCATAATTGGGTCTTGCCAAAGGTCTGAGGAGTTACTGCATAAAATCCTCCAAGTAGTCCCAGAAAGAGTAATGATCTCATTTTACACTGGAGGAAACTGAGGCTTGTGTGCTAAGTAACTTGCTTGAGACAGCGTTGTAAATGACTGAGCTAGGATTCAAGCCAGGCTCACCCATCTCCACAAGACTTCACTGCTTCCCATCAATCGTTACATAGAGTATCAAGGAGTATCAAGCAAGGAGAGATGTAGAGACCCTGGGCCAGTGTTCTGCCCCATAGTGGACAAGCCCTGGTGACCCTAAGGCACGCACGCTAATGTGTGTGTGTGAATGAGTTCATCTGCAACAAATCAGTGATGCTCCTTTTCGGCTGAGCTGGTAAAGATGCTTTCACGACTGATAACCAAGAAAGTTTTCTCTTGTCTTCTCTTTAGCATCCTTTCCAGCAAGATAGCAACACTTTTGTGTGAATATTTGGGTATCTTTAATGTAATGGATGGCTTCGTTGGCAAAAAGAAGAAAGACTAAAGACCAACTTTATGGCTGATGTCATCTGATACCCAGCATTACATAATGCTTATTTCAATGAAGAAAAGTGTTTTTGTCCAAAAAGATATATCTGGAGACTACAAGTACCATTCTTATTCTTCTATCTGGACTAGTATTTTCAACCAATGCCTTTAAAAATAATATTGCTATCTGCTGTTTTACTGAGTTTTAAAAATAAAAAAACAGCCCGTTTTGTCATTTCTGCTTGCAGCAGATGTGAAAGAGGGATAATCTGCTTTCTCATGGACTACCCTTCACCTTGGGCATTGGGGTGGTGGCTCAAATGGAGCAGGTGTCTGTGCTTGAGCCCGCATTGGAGAGCTTGGCTGAGGGATGGAGAGTGTGAGTGAGTGTTTAGTTGGCGTGTTCTCTCTCCAGAGGACTCAGAGCTCTGAATTGCCTGTCACCTTCCTCTCAGTTTCGGCCTTTTTTGAACTTGTGCCACCTAATGTATAAAAGGTCAGCCTCCCTTGTCCTTCTTTCCAAAGCATCCACACAAACACTTACTTATACACGCCCTGGGTACTCACAGACTAAGTGCCAATCCTGCAGAAAGTCCATCAGGTGCCACCCTGTCAAGGAGCCTTACTGCACATTCCCTGAATGAGCTTAGCAAGCAGTGATCTCAGACCAAACTCTAAATAGGATCACGTTTTTTTTTCTTAGAATATATCAAAGAATGGTTGCTTCTTCTCTGAAAATGACTTTCTACTAAGTTACATGAACTCTACCTATTAATCCAGAAGACATAGTAATGTGGTTAATTTCAGGTGTTTAATTTGCTATTTCAAGTTGGGATTCATGTTGAGATATTTTTCTACAGAATGGAAAGTTTTATGCACTTGTATTCATCAGTGCTGTCTTCATTTCAGATCTATTATATTCTTACAGTTTAATTAACTGGCCAACTGCTTTCATGCTTTGAAAATTAACTATAAAAGCATGACTAAGAAAAATATGTTAATTACCACATCCCTGGAACTCCTTCCCAGGCTGGTGGGCAGGCTCCTTCCTTGCCTTAGGAGAAAAACAGCAGCCCTCGTGTCCTACCTTCTTTTGAGTGGGGAACGGGAGAGGATGAGAGGTCCCGTGGAGGACCCTGTGAGAGTCAGACGAAAGCTCACATATCTTGGGGGTAACATGCTCTTAGAAGGGCAACGGTCTCAGGGAATGTGGAGTCTGGAATCCACTGTGGACTCACTTATTTTGAGCTGATTGCATGATTCTGACAACACTGTCCCTGTATTTCTTTTACATTCAGAAAGCCTTAAAAAAATTAAAAAATAAAAAAAAGCTTGTTTTATGATATTAAAAATCAAAGTATTTATTATGCCTAGCATGAAACTGAGCACTTTGCACACGTTCTTTCATTAAACACAACTATCACATTATTACTCAAAGAATAATAAAGGTATTTGGTGTATGCCAAAGAATAAAAGGCATTTTATTTCACAAAAGTGACATCCTGCTCAACTGTAGATGTGTACTGAGAGGATCAAAAGGCCCTCTTAGACTAACCAACTGATGTTCCAAATCCTTGGTTAACAAGGTTAATTAAGAGAGAGGCACAATATTGCTCCTATATTACAATTCCAAAAGCGTATATTCCAGGGGCCTGTCTATTTAGTTGTAGAATAAAGAAGAGATTCTTAGCAGATTTAGTAGAACAAAGTTCTGGGGTGTAGTGGGCATCCACCACATCATAACAGCATTAACAGCAATTATTTCTAATTGGAGTGCATTTTCGCTGGGTGACTACAAAGGCCTGAAATTCAATTGTGGTTTTATAATACCCATAAAATTGTCTAAACAAATTCAGATTTACTTGAAGCACTCATATGAGAAGAGACCATGTGTAAATTAGAGCATTCTAGAGGGCGATAAATAACAAGGTGATTTAATACCACTGGGGAGCAAATGTTCTCAGCATGTGTTTCATAACCAGTTTCCATCTGAAATTTAATCCTAATGAAGCCATAATCAAGAACCCAACACCTAAGCAAGCCCTATGAAATGGAAAGCTAACGGACAAGGGCTGCACCCCAGGATTGGGCACTCTGCCCTCCAGGATGGCATCATCTAGCACCCTGGAGTTATCGTGCTGCTCAAGAACTAAGAAGAATTTGTCATCACAAAATACTACAGACTAGGTGGCTTAAGCAACAGAAATTTACTTTCTCTCCATTCGTGAGGCTGGGAAGCCCAAGATCAAGGTGCCAGCTAATTCCCTTTTTGGTAAGAGCTCCCTTCCTGATTCAGGATGCCTCTCCTCTCACTGTGTCCTCACATGGCCTTTCCTTGGTGTTTGGGCATGGGGAGAGAGATGTTGCTCTCCCTCTTCCTATAAAGCCACTAATCCCATTATGAAGACCCTACCCTCATGACCTAATCTAACCCTAGTTACTTCCCCAAGCCTGCAGCTCCAAATGCCATCACCTGGGAGTTATGGCTTAAACATGTGAATGTAAGGGCATACAAACATTCAGTCCCTATGGATACCAAGACAGAAAAGTAAATCTGGGCCACAGGGTTCTTTACACTCCTAGTATCCTAATGCTGAGGTGGTCACAGTTTGTCAATTAAAATCGTTTACAGTCTTGGAGGTAGAGTAAATTGGAGATGCTTGGAAAAACACCTAATTCAAACCTCTGAGAGTCAGCACTTGAAAGAAACATGACTAAGAGTTTGGACCACCAAACAAAAGCTTATGTGAGGGAAGACGTTCCGTGCAGAATGGTTCTGTGAAGAGATCATATGGCAGTCTAGGTACCTTCAACATTTCCAGGCTAGTGACCTGTTTAGGGTTTATCCAAGCATCCCCAGCGCATTTCCCTTCCAAGCGGCTGAACAGTTTCCCTTTGCTGCCGTGGAATAGGCCACAACTGTGCCATAGAGGAGAGCCGGGGCCTGCATTCCCTTTTTGTTTTTTCAAAAGTTTGCTATCAAATTGGAAACCAAACCAATATCAGGTGCATGACTCATTGGTGCTCATCCCTTGGGGAGTCTGCTTGTAGGGTGGTAATGGTGAAGGCTCTGTCATTTGTGCCTATGCGGTACACATGCGCCTGGATATCCTTACTGTGGATCAGCACTAATTGAAGCAGTGATGAATCAGATAAGACAGCTCAGCTCATCATTATTAGTTATAGCTTCCAGGCCTAGGACTTCATTGATTTGTCTCACATTGGTCTTTATCATCACATTTTACAAAGGCTAGCTAGCATTGAAATCACACTAGCCCTCCATACAAAGCCAGGTAGACCTGTCACCCCTTAGCTCTGTCTCCTCTTTCCCATGGTGGTCTTTCAGACCGGCTTCTTTCTCAAGCCCACCACAATTCTGTCACCTACTCTTTCCCAAAGATAAGCTTTCTCTCCTACCCCACCAAGAAAATTGAAGCTGAAAAGTATAAACTCCCTCAGCTCCCCAAAGCAATATCTTCAAAGGCATTTATTTCTGCCTCCACCTCCCTTTTTCTCTCAGCCTCAGAGGAAGCAGTGAACTTGCTCAGGCTATCCTGAGGCTGATCAGGCTGATCCACTGAGGGCTTTCCAGGGCTTCCTCAGAGGTCCCCTCTCCCATATCTCAACCTCTCCACTTCAAGCTGCTCCCCCGTGTCTAAAAGCATACTAAAGACCATGGTCTTTAACTTAAACTTAAATTGTAACTTAAAAATAAACTTCCATCTCACTATGGCAGTAATTGTCCCTCCTTTCCATTAGCTACATCATTTAAAATGCAGCCTAGTGTAATTTGTCTATCTCCTCGCCTCGCCTTTGTCACTGGCTCCTTAAGCCATCCAGCTTTCACGTTCACCAACTCACAGCAATTTTTATGAAAAAGACCTCTGGGGATTTCATCGCTCATCTTATTTTACTTCTCATGACAGATATTATTAACCTTTCTGTCCTTGGTTGTGGTATCATCTGCCTACCAGCCTCTTCCACTGCTCACTCCTTAAATTATTACTGTTCTTCAAGCTTCTCTCCTTGGATTTCTCACTTTGTAGATTACCCTGGAGGCGCCTAACCATGCCCATCGCTCCTCGTCCCATGCCCCTTCAAGCCAACCAAGCTGGAAACCCAGGTATGATGCTCTACTTTTGCTTTCACTTCATTTCTCACCTCCCCATTCAGTTAGTAATCAAATCCAGTCTGCTCTGCCTCTTGATCATCTTCTAGCAGCTTTCCTCACCATCCCCACTACTACTGCCTTAGTTCAGGCTCTTATAATCTGTTGCAATATTTTCCCAGCTAGTCTTTCTGCATCAAGGCTTGCTCACTGTATTAGTGAGGATTACATTCAGCTAAGATAACTGAAAAGCCCCAATGTAACAAGGACTTAAAGAAAATAGAAGTGTTTTTCTCTCTGAGGTTTAAAAAGCCTAGAGGTAGCTGTTCAGGCTGGTAGGGTGCTTCACAGTATCAGGGACCCAATCTCCTCTATGTATTTGCTATGCATGGCTTACAGGCCAAACATCATTTGTAAGCACAGTCTACAATGACCACTGAGACCTCAGCCATTATGCCACGTTCCAGCCTGCAAGAGACCAGAAGGCAGAAGGCACATCTATGTCCTTTAAGGATGATCCATGTACATTACACATCCCACAAACAACACATTCTATTAACCAGCATTAGTCACGTGACTAAACCAACCTGCAAAGGATGCTGAGTATGGTCTCTATTTTGCACTGCCATGAGCCAGCTGAAGATCAGGAGTTCCATTACTGTGGAGAAAGGTAAGAACAGATGTTAGGTGTCAACTTACAGTTTCTGCCAGAGTCTACATCCCCAAATATCTATGTATCTTCCTATTATTGGATAGAACCCACAGATCCGCTCCACCTCAAACCCCTGCCCAGTTCCTGCATGCCCCACAAAGCTCAGAATTTCTGGTGCAGGGCAGCACTCTCCATCAGATCCAGAAATGACTCTTCACGGCCTGATGACCAGGTGCTGCAGGAGATCATAGCAGCATTCTTGCTAGGGTTTAAGCCTAAGGAAAATAAATTCAAAATGAGTGACTGGCGGGATATGTGATCTGCTGATTCTCATAATCATTATACCAGATTGCTTGTGCTTTGGACTCTCAGGCCCGAGGGGAATATGTTATTGGGCATAAAGGCAAGGGGCTTAGGATCCCCGGGCCCTTGCAGGAACAGAACACTGCCTGCATACGTTGCTGGTTGTCCTTAAGATACTCCCCAAGGGAATGACCTGGGATGGGGTGGTGTGCTTTGGGGGATGAAGAATAGAACCTTTGGACTCTGGCCTGCGTGTCCCTGCAGGCATGAGTTTCTGCTATTGTAATTGCTTGTGATTCTTTACCAGCAAATAAATATGTGGCGATCCGAGGGACCTCACCTCAGTCCTTGCGGCTGATGGTCCCCTGTCCCATTGAATAATATAGATCGTGTTCTGTCTATTAATTCCATCCGCCCCTTCGGCTGGCTGGCCAGCTGGTCTCGGCAGCAAGTGGCGCCCAACGTGGGGCACGAAGGAAGGGTCGCCAAAGAACGACGGTGGAGTTTCAGCGGTGCGGAACCTGGAAGCGGTGTGAGGCCTCGGAAGATTCCCCGTGTGGGTAAGTGCTTCCAGAAGTTTTAACAGGGTAAACGGGTAATTTTGAAAGTACAGAACGGTATCTCCCTTACATCTGCTTACTCAGGCAATTGCTGAGGGTAGGGGCGGGGCCAAGGTCAGTAAAAATAAATTGAGATGTTGCAAATCATAGAGAAGCATTGTACTTGGTTTCCTACTCTAGGTACATCAGATTTACAATTATGGGAAAAGGTGGGAACTGAATTAAAGAAGGAATATCAGAAGGGCATTCTGATGCCTGTGACAATATGGAACACTTGGTCGTTAAGTCGTTCCGTACTAGAGCCCCACCAAACCCATGACTCCTCAGAGGAGAGCGAAGGAGAGACAGAGAAGATGGAGGCTCCTTTACTGATCACATAAAGAGCCCTGAATATGCAGTCCCTGAAGGGACGGCTACTAAAAGGAAGGAGTGCATGTGGCCGATGGCACCTGAGCCTGATGATATATTTCCACCGCCCCCTCCGGTCCCACTCCTTCCTCCACCCTTCTGTAGTTTGTTGGCCGCGCCATAGCTGAGCGTCGTCCGGCTTCCACACTTTCACCTTTACAAATGGAAATTAGACAAGCAGTAAAGGAGGGAGATCTGGAAGCCCTTCACGTGGCATTCCCTGTAACGGTTCATGAGAGAGTGGCTCCTGGTGTTGATCCTCAAAATCCCAGTGGCATATATGAAGCTGTTCATCATCCTTTTCCTTTGAAGATCTTAAGAGTTAAAACAGGCAGTAGAGAACTATGGAGTTAACTCTCCCTTCACAATCGAGATAGTTCAGGGGATTGCTGAGGGCAATAGACTGATCCCTGCGGACTGGTCAACTTTGGCAAAAAGTGTCTTAGCCCCCGGGGAGTTTTTACAATGTCGTACGTGGTGGCAAGATCACACGGAGACAGCAGCCGTGCATAATCAGACCAGACAGATCCCGATCTCTTTAGAACAACTGATGGGCATCGGACCTTGAGCTGAAGTACAAAATCAACTAAGGATGGAGGATCAGGCTGTAGAACAATTAAGACGCTGTTGCCTGAGAGCATGGGAAAAGATTGAGACGAAAAGTATTGCCACTGTCTCATTTCAGAGGATCATTCAAGGGCCTAAAGAATCATACACAGAATTTATTGCTAGACTACAAGAAGCTATTAAACCACAGGTAACTAACGGAGAGGCAGCAGACACAATTTTACAATTACTGGCTTATGAGAATGCTAATTCTGATTGTAAGAAGGTACTTGGGCCATTTAAGGGAAAGGGTAATTTGACTGATTATATAAAAATGTGCCAGGGAGTGGGAACTGAGACTTTTAAGGCGGAGATGTTAGCACAAGCCATGGCAGGGCTGCGAGTGGGCGAATTTCCCGGAGTATGTTTTAGTTGTGGGAAATCGGGCCACACTCGAAAGGAATGAAAGATAAAAAGGCAGAAAAGTGATAATGGCTCTAACCAAAAAATGAGGAAAACACCTGCCATTCCTGGGCTGCGTCCTCGTTGCCAGAAAGGGAATCACTGGGCTAGTCAATGCAGTCTAAATTTCATAAAAATGGGAATGTACTATCAGGAAACTACCAGAGGGGCGGGCTCCCAGCCCCAACAAACAAGGGGGCCTTCCCTGCTTAGAAGCAGGAAAACGACACTGACGATTACAATGCCGTGCCTTGGATTTATCCCCCGCCACAAGCGGAAGTGCCGCAGTAGACCTAACCAGCAGTGAGAATTGTATAGTCACTCCCTCTGAAACTCCTACTCTGATTAACACTGTGCTATGTGGTCCCTCACTTAAAGGCACAGTTGGACTACATTTAGAGAGGTCAGGATTGACTTCACAAGGGGTTAGGGTGCATACTGGGGTTATAGACAGTGATTATCAAGGGGAAATAAAGGTTATGATGTCTACATCAATTCCCTGGCAGATAAAAAAGGGAGATCGCATTGCTCAACTTTTAATCTTGCCCTTCATTGCTATAGAAAACTCATAACAAACTAGAGGGCAACAAGGATTTGGCAGTACAGGACAAGTGGGGGTTTTCCTTACTGAAAAAATTTTAGAATCTCGACCAACCTGCAAAATTAACATCAATGGAAAAACATTTGATGGGTTAACTGATACCGGGGCAGATGTCTCTATCATCAGCTCTAAACACTGGCCTTATCATTGGCCTACCATTCCTCCCCTGATTTCAGTTATTGGCCTTGGGGAAGCACAGGGCTTGTGGCAGAATTCAAATATATTATATTGCATGGGGCCAGATGGACAAAAGGCTACCTTACAGCCTTATGTCACTGATCTTCCCATTAATCTATGAGGATGAGACTTAGAACAATGGAAAGCTGAAATATGTATTCCTCCTCGGGTATTCTATAGTGAGCAGTCACAAAAAATTATGGAAAAACAACAATATGTCCCAGGTTTAGGACTAGGAAAGCAATTACAGGGAGAAGTAAGCCCTGTAGCCCCTAGTGGGAAACAGAATAAGCATGGATTAGGATACTCGCCTTTTCAATGGAGATCACCGCTCATATAAAGCTTCCCCCACCGATGCCTATAGCACTGGTATGGAAATCTGACAAACCAGTGTGGGTAGAGCAGTGGCCTTTAAAAAAGGAGAAATTGGAAACTCTTAAAGAATTAGTTAATGAACAACTCGAAAAGGGGCATATCAAAGAGACGTTTAGCCCGTGGAATTCTCCTGTTTTTGTAATTAAAAAGAAAACAGAAAAATGGAGAAGGTTAACCGATTTGAGAGCTATTAATGCTACTATAATTAGCCCATACTTCTCTTCCAGGACCTCTCACAGAGGGAAACGCCTGAGCAGATGCATTACTATTCTCAATTTTTTCTGACGCTCAACATTTTCATGCTTTAACTCACTATAATGCTAAAGGTTTAAAGATGCAATAGGACTTAACATGCGCCCAAGCTAATCAAGTTGTACGAACTTGTCCCACTTGCCAAGAAGTAAACATAGTCCCTGAAACTCATACAGGAGTTAATCCTAGAGGTTTAAAACCTAATGACCTCTGGCAAATGGATGTTACTCATATTCCCTCCTTTGGGAAGATGTCATTTGTACATGTTTGTATTGATACTTTTTCTCATTATATTTGGGCAACTGCCACTATGGGAGAGACTGTCAAACGTGTGATTATGCACTTTCATAGTTGCATGGCAGTAATGGGCCAATCTAAAGCCATAAAGACAGATAACGGTCTGGCCTATACCAGCGTCTCTCTTGCTAAATTCTTAACAGATTGGGGTATCCGCCATTCTGCAGGCATTCCATACAATCCTCAGGGACAGGCCATTGTAGAACGAGCAAATCAAACTCTGAAAGCCGTGCTACGAAAACAAAAAGGGGGAGATGCCACTATCTCCCCTCCACAAAGAATTTATAAAGCATTATTCACTTTGAATTTTTTGCAACCATATGAGGAAGGGACCCCAGCAGAAAAGCATTATGCACAAGAGCGGAAGAAGAAAAACAAACCATCTATCTGGTGGTTCGATCCTGGGAGTAATACATAGAATAGGGGGTCACTAATAACATGGGGATGAGGTTTTGCTTGTGTTTTGACAGGAGACTTAGAAAAGGCGATCTGGGCTCCTTCTAGACATCTTAAGCCATATCATGAGCACCCCACCAAGAAAACGTCGATTCACGTGGGACGTCGAACCACCGGTGATGAGGTTTCAGGGTCTAAGCCTGAAGACTACCAAAATCACATTCGCACTGCCACAGATGCATCGTGCATCAATTCCAACCTGGGGACAAATAAAGAAATTGAGTCAACAAGCAGAGAAGTTGTTAGAACAAGAAAATACATCTGTCACTCCAAATAACTTGGCTCTGGCAATGTTCGCGCTGGTGTTGGTGGCCGTAAGTATACCCAGGGCCATAGCCCAGCCGAATAACAGTACTTACACATATTGGGCTTATACTCCTAACCCCCCATTGATCAGAGTAGTGAACTGGGGAGAAAATTCCATCCCTGTATATGTTAATGATTCATCCTGGGTCCTGGGGCCCGAGGATGTCCGTCTACCTATATTTGAAAAGGAAGAAGGTACCCCATATGAAACAACTGATTTTGGATTCGACCCTTGGCCTATTTGCATAGGAAGAGGAAGAGGCTGTTTAAATTTCACTACACAGGCTTGGCTAACTACTTACATGCTCGATAGAAATCACAGCAAAACACAATTACACATGTTATGGGGCTACAGTTTCCACTATTCTATTGCCCCCCAAAACAATCTTACTGCTCCAAATCATCCAGTGTGTGCTAGCCAAAGATTATGGGTGGACAACATTGATCAAATACAGTGAGATGTTTGTCGTGGGACGGAGGGGGTAATTTTGATTAATGGTTCCTATGGAACAGTATGGGACTGGTCCCACAAGGGGTATGCACTCTCAAATTGCTCCCATACAGACTCCGCCTGCAATCCCTATAAAAGGTTAAGATGGCAAATTTCAGGGTCTAAGCACACTACTATTACAACACTTAGTGTATATCCCATTTTATGGCACGGGGAAGGATTTTCTCCTCTGCAACCTCAATTTAATATGGGTAGACCACAGATTGACTTATGGAAACTAGCCTTCAGTCTAAGGTGATTCAGAATTTGGGATGGAAACTATGAGAACACAAAATTGTCTTTCAACACATCTGCCAAGTGGACTTTTTACATCAAAGCCTGTGTCCGAGATCCATATGTATTGGCCGTAGGTACGGTATCTATTAATGAAGCAGGTAAAACTGTGAATTGTGAGGATTGCAAATTATACACTTGCGTCAATAGCTCCTTATACAATGATTCTCACTCATATATGCTATTGAGGCGACGTTTGGGCGTTTGACTTCCAGTAAGTCAAAATAGGCCGTGGGAAGGCTCTCCTGATAGCCACGCCTTACTACAAATAATTGAGAAAATCTTAAAAAGATTTATAGGATTAGTAATTGCTGCTATATCAGGCATTATAGCAATAGCATCCACTGCCACTGGTGCTGGGGTGGTACTGCATCAAGCAATTCAAACCACTACCTTTGTTCAACAATGGCACAAAAATGCTTGTGAAGCATGGAACAGTCAGATAAGAATTGATCAGGGAATCAGTGAACAGCTAGTGGATCTGGAAAATGCTGTATTAATTTGGGAGACGAAGTACATAACTTTAAAAAGCTAATCAGGGGCTGGCCCCGTGGCCAAGTGGTTAAGTTCACTCACTCTGCTGCAGGCGACCCAGTGTTTCGTTGGTTCAAATCCTGGGTGCGGACATGGCACTGCTCATCAAACCACGCTGAGGCAGCGTCCCACATGCCACAACTAGAAGGACCCACAATGAAGAATATACAACTATGTACCGGGGGGCTTTGGGGAGAAAAAGGAAAAAATAAAATCTTTAAAAAAAAAAAAAAGCTAATCAGACTGCAATGTGATTGGAATGTTACTGAATTCTGTATTACACCACATCCTTATGATGATAGTGAGCATGCCTGGAGCACTATAAGGTGGCATTTAAAGGGCCACTTCAAGGACAATCTCACATTAGATATAGATTATTGCAAGCTAAAGTAAAACATATGCAAGATGCTAAACTATCATTGCTACCTGAATCTGAACTATTTGATAGTATACATACTGACTTATCAAAGATGTTTCCTACTGACTGGATAAAAACCATTGGCAGTGGCCTTATTGGAACTGTTATATCAGGATGTATATTTTTCATTATTTTCTGCTTAGTCCTCAGATGCATGAGAAAAACCTTCCGAGAACTGACTAAGAGAGAAACTGCCTGGACCGCCTACCTCCTCTTACAAAAACATAAAGGGGGAAATGCTGCAGGAGATCATAGCAGCATTCTTGCTAGGCTTTAAGCCTAAGGAAAAGTAAATTCCAAATGGGTGACTGGCGGGATATGTGATCTGCTGATTCTCATAATCATTATACCAGATTGCTTGTGCTTTGGACTCTCAGGCCCGAGGGGAATATGTTATTGGGCATAAAGGCAAGGGGCTTAGGATCCCCGGGCCCTTGCAGGAACAGAACACTGCCTGCATACGTTGCTGGTTGTCCTTAAGATACTCCTCAAGGGAATGACCTGGGATGGGGTGGTGTGCTTTGGGGAATGAAGAATAGAACCTGTGGACTCTGGCCTGCATGTCCCTACAGGCATGAGTTTCTGCTATTGTAATTGCTTGTGATTCTTTACCAGCAAATAAATATGTGGCGATCCGAGGGACCTCACCTCAGTCCTTGCGGCTGATGGTCTCCTGTCCCATTGAATAATATAGATCGTGTTCTGTCTATTAATTCCCTCCAACCCTTCGGCTGGCTGCCTAGCTGGTCTCGGCAGCAACCAAGAAGGTAAAAGGTAAGTGATTTATCCCCATCACACTCAATATGCAATGGTGCATGGGAAGCAGGATAGCCATATTAGAAAGATAGAGAAAAGAAAGAGAAAAAATAACCTTCCATTCAAAAACAGGAGGGTGGCAGAGGAAACACAGCAATGGTCTATAGTGACAAAATCCTGCTGAGCAAGAATCAGAAGGCCTCCTGAGAAAGGAATCACTTTCTCAGGTGGTTCTCTCTGGTTCTGCTCTGTGAACTGTCCCCTTGTCTTTGCCTTCCATAGCCCTGGAAACTCTTTGTTGTTTGCTTTTTTCCAAGGCCACGTGTGAGGTAAGCTTTGCAGACTATAATTGCGTATGTCACACTAGAGGGATGAAGAATTACAGACTGTTTCGAGCCTGGCCTCTGTTTGCCAAAAAGTATTTCCAGACTTCTAGTCTGTAAGATTCTGAGCACTTGCCACCCCTCACCTGAAAACCTAACCCTAGTTATACCACGTACTTCCATTGCTCTTATGTGCAGCCGTCCTCTACAAGGTGCTGAGCTCTCTATTAGTTTAAAATGAGGTTCAGCTGTAACAATGATCCTAAATAACAGCGATTTAAGAACTATGAATGTGTACTCCATCGCGTCAAAGTCCTGAGATAGATGAACCACGTCTTCTATGTTGGTTCTGCTCTGTGAAGTTCCAGGGATCAGGGCTACTGACAACACCCCACTCGCCCATCTTGAGAGTGTGGCAAGGATCATTGTCATCAAAATGGCAGCCATTCTGGCCACCTTCCAGGCAACAGATGTAGGAAGGGATAAAGACAAAAAGGCCAAAGGCACCAATTTTCCTTTTAAGAATATTTCTAGAAGCAGCTACACAACACTCTCTTCAAACGTTATTAGTCAGGTGTAAGTGAGGCTGGGGATTATAGTTTTTATCATAGCAGCCATGATTCTATCTAATAACTGCAGAGGTTTCCAGGAATGGGAAAAGGGGGCATTAGTAATCTTGGCCATAGGCTCTCCAAAGTCACCCCCCCCCCACAGGTGGGGACCCAAATCAGTTTAGCAATGCAACTCAGGTCAGGCCATTTGCAATTTCCGTAACCCTTTTCCGGTTCTTCAAATGACTGTAATTCCTCATATGACTGTTGTAAGGATTAGGTGAGCTGGCAGATATAAAATGCCTAATGTAGGGTTTGGTACATATTAATGCTCAATAAACACCAGCCTCTACTCTGTCCCCAGCTAAACTCTGACCTTGAACTTCTAGTTTGTGACAATGTGTCTGGTACCACTTGAAATCTCTTTAGATCAGATTTATGTTGACATTTTTTAACTAGTATTTAAGGGTATTTTCTTATTTTGTTGTGGGGAAGTAGAATTATTTAGAGCTATGGATTTTTATAGAATGAGGATTGTTTCAATGCTTTGTAATCTGAAAGCCTTGGAGAGTATACTAGGAAAGAGAAGATATAATGCTCTGCTTTGAGTTTCTACTCACATCACTATTCAGTATACTCTTGGTGGGCCATTTATATTGATCTAATTTTGGATAAACTTTGGATCTTGGCTCTCTTTCTACTTATGATTCCTATTTATGCCCCCTTTCCTCCTCATTTTCTTCTTTCTAACTTCTCTGTCTCCCTACCTCTTCCTTTCTTCCTTTCAAAAATATGTACTGAATGTCCATTATGTTTCAATCACTTTGCAAAGTACTATGTGGTATGTATGCAAATATATATTATAGGCTGTTAAATGGAACATTTACTCGATGTCTTGAAATTTTGGCTGAACCAAATTAGCACATGGGTGGTAAAATAAGTACTTTTATGTTCTTAAAAAAAATAGCATTTGGGCTGGCCTGGTGGCACGGTAATTAAGTTCCCACATTCCACTTTGGCAGCCCAGGGTTCACCAGTTCTGATCCCCGGTGTGGACCTACACACCACTTATCAAGCCATGCTATGGCAGGCACCCCACATATAAAAAAAAAAAGTAGAGGAAGATGGGCATGGATGTGAGCTCAGGGCCAATCTTCCTCAGCAAAAAGAAGAAGATTGGTGGCAGATGTTAGCTCAGAGGTAATCTTCCTCAAAAAAAAGAGTACTAAATATATCCATGCAAGACAGGTTAATAGATAGCAACCTCAGGTTTCAGGTTTTATCTTCCAAATCTCAGGTTTCATCTCTGACATGGAAGTTGTCATTCCCATCTTTTTCTTTTTTTTTTTCTTTTTTTGGTGAAGAAGATTGACCATGAGCTAAAATCTGTTGCCAATCTTCCTCATTTTGCTTGAGGAAGATTGTTGCTAAGCTACCCTCTGTGCCAATCTTCCTCTATTTTGTACGTGAGACACTACCATGGCTTGATGAGCAGTGTGTAAGTCTACACCCACGATCCAAACCTGTGAAACCCGGGCTACCAAAGTGGCGTGTGTGAACTTAACCATTATGCCACCAAGCCAGCCCCACATCATTCCCATCTTTAACAACAAAAACCAGGATAAACTGAAAATAAGTTACTTTTTCTTTAACCCACCAGAGAACTGAGGGCAAACTGCCACCCAAAATCTGGAGAAACAAGATCATTCAGAGAGACATAGCAGAAGCCACTGGAGCTATAAACTAGGAGGAATACTTAAATGGCAATTTTGACAAATTGTTGCAAGCTGAGTATGAGTTAGCATGGAAGTGAGAAACTCTTGGGATCAAAGTCTTTGGAGGGCCCCTACACCTAAGTGGGCTTTATCTCCAGGAATTCCAGCAGGTCCTCACAGTGAAGCTCCCAGAAAGATGTCCTCCTGGCTCTAGGGAAGAGGAACCATTGTGAAATAAGCCCCAAGCCTTCCCCATAGCAATGCCCACTCTCCAGGGAAAGGACTTTGCCAGAGCCTTATTCCAGCTGGAGTAAGGACATTCCTCCCCATTCTACCCCCTTCTAGCCCTCCTGTCTCACCTAAGGGGAAAAAATAGTTCATGTGGGCCAGGGCTTCAAGGAAGTGGGGCCATCTTGTGGGATTGAGCCGTTAACCTGTGGGATTTGATGCTATCTCCAGGTAGATAGTGTCAGAATTGAGTTAAATTGTAGGACACCTAATCAGTGTCCACTGAGAATTGGAAAATGGCTTAGTGTGGGAAAAAAAATCCATACATCTGGTGTCAGAAGTGTTGTGAGTGGATAGTAGTATGAGAGTCAAGGAGAAACACAGGAGGAATATGTCTTTCCAATTTGGTGGTGTTGGAAAACACGCATCAGAGTAATGTAAACAGAGAGATGGAAACTCTAAGAAGGAATCAAAAAGAAATACTAGAAATAAAAAACACCATAGTAGAAATGAAGAATGCCTTCAATGAGCTCATCAGTAGACTAGACACAGCCAAGGAAAGAATCAATGAGATTGAAGATAGATCAACAGGAACCTCCCAAATCGAAAAACAAAAAGAAAAAAAGAACGGGAGAAAAGGGGAAAAAAACCCAGAACAGAACATCCAAGAACTGGGGGGCAATTTCATAAGGTGTATCACATGTGTAAGTGGAATACCAGAAGGTAAACAAAGAGAATAGGAAGAAGAAGATATATTTGAGAACTTTCCAAAATTAATGTCAACACCAAATCACACATTCAGGAAGCTCAAAGAATAACAAGCAGGACAGACACCAAACACACACACACACACACACACACCCCATATTCAAACTGTAAAAAATCAAAGACTAAAATCTTTAAAGAAGCTAAAGAATGAAAAACCTGACATATAGAAGAACAAAGATAAGAATTTCAGGGGGCCTTTCATCAGAAACATGTTAGAAAGAAGAGAGTGCATGTTAAATATTTAAAGTGTTGAAAGAAAAAGACTACCTACCTAGAACTCTATATCCAGCAAAATTATCCCTCAAAAGTAAAGGAGAAATAA